AACCCTAAAATCCTCAATTACGAGTACGGGTTGTTGACGTCCAAGGTCACTGGGCTCCGGACTCATTCAGCAAGCTCTGCGAGGTTCGGCTGCGAAGGACACGAAGCCTTGGGTGTAGAGTGTCGAGCCACTGTCAAATTCGAAAAGGGTCAGGATTCACGGCTAACGGCTTGGAAAACATGAATGGTGGCATGGATTCCGAAAGCCTCAAAATCTCAGGCACGAGCTCCGAAAGTCGTACAGTTTAGCGAAGAGTTTGAAGATAACCGAAGACTCGCAGCAATCGAGGGTCCTATGAAAAGCACAAGATCGTTGAGTAATTTATCGAGGCCCCTCTGTTCGCCAGGCCTCTCCCCTCGACACACCTTCGCTGAGTCCGCTGCTTCCCTGAACGAATCTCGACAAAGACCTGTCAGGAGGTGGCTTACCGATGGTGGTGATGATGATAGCAAAGAATAGCAAGGATCTGGTCCTGGTTTTGTTCATAACATGGGGCTTCCTAAATCCGAAGTTCCCACCGACTGATGGGCCCTGCATGCCTCGCAAGACCGAGGGATGCTGTGCTTTGGGGGATGCAGTGAATAATGACCTATACATTTTGGGGGGGTCCTTATCATATTTATAGTATAGTGGGCCCCTAATTAGCAGATTCTTTGGGCTGGTGAGACTGAGGGGGTTGAAGCGCGTCGGCCCTCCAACTACCCGAACCGCGAATCCAGACTCTAAGCACCCTCAACCCGTAAGTTGTAAACTCTGCACCTCAATGTAAGCTGACTCGTTGGATCCGGTAGACCTGGTACGAAGAGACATGCCTTTTCGAAGTCGCCGCCGTCGGTCGGGCGCTCCAAGTAGCCTTCAAAGTTGTAGTCCTGATCTGAGACAGAGGCGAAGGCTTGCGCTCGTGTCCACTAGCGTGGTTTGAGAATCTCCGGCCTTCTAGGGTTTCCTGCAGGCGAGGTGCTTACTGTTGCCCAGCGCTTGCTTGTCTTAGATCAGGTGTTGAACCGAAAGTAACCCAAAGGGTCCAAGTATCATCATGAGACATACTTAGACCCCCAAAATGCCCCAATGATACTTGGACCCTTTGGGTAACCCCATAACTAGCATACAGAGGCCTGAAGAATGGTAATTTTGAATATTGAGCCTACCCTGTTAATTACATCTCATCTCCCGTGGAACAACCCGAGGCATGCTGAAAGCGCCGACATTTGATCTCTGTCTTCTTGCATGTTGTGCGGCGGTCGGCTTAGGAACCTTGCCCCTGGAATCCCAGCTTGCCAGACATGGAGAGGACGCGTAGCGTAGCGGTCGTGTCAGCAACGTAAAGACTCTCGCTTATACTTAGCGTTTTCCGACGATATCTTTTCGTGTTTGATTATCGGATGGCTTTCCCAAAGGGCGGCGGCGATCATTCCAGCACCGACAAAAAACCCATTTCCTTTCCAGAGCTGTACGCAGCACCTGCGCCCGGGAACCCAACCCTACCGGCTTTTAAGCCCTCGAAAGCTCTCTTAGCTTTGTCCTGGCCTGGTGCTTACGTGCGGGATCCCAGGTGCACAATGGCGGCCCAGGTCCAACATTTTTTGGAGCAGTCGAACGGGATCTGTAAGTACTTGCATCCTGTAGTCGCAATGGCATACTTGCAGGCTAGTGATGAAGATCTCATCATTAGCAAAAAGTCCACATCCTTGAGCAGGCCCTCAACTTGGATCTCCCAACCCCACCGACGACAGTTCTGTGAACCCCAGTTATCCCAAGCCCAAAACACCCGGCTCCTCATCTTCGGATGCAACACTTCGCGGAGACTGCGCAGGGGCTTCGGCCCTGCAAGTTCGGAATTTAGCAGGACCTTCTTTAGGCCGGGTAATTGGGGACTTTGGGACGTTTGGGCTTGGAGGTCAGGAGTCTAGGTTTGGGGCTACTTTCCGGGGATGGCATTCTGATAGGCCAAACCCTGCGAGCGCACACAGCTCGCAGAACTGAGACGTGATCGAAGACTGCTGCCTCGCGGCCATCTCGATGATGATCTCACGCCCATCCTGGCAGAAGCTGCATCAAAAATGCAACACCTTTGTCCGAACTGATCACAACACAACGTCTGCTTGTTTCAGGGGTCTTGCCTGCGTGTAACTGAACTGTATGGAAATGAAGCAACATGTCTACGCCCCGAAGTCCTATCACCCCACGATCCTGGCAGTTCATTTACAGACTCTGCGATCCCTTGCCGTGCAGACTCTTTCAGTGGGTCAACCGAGTGCCATGGCGGTTGAGGCTTGGGTAGCAGAATGGCTAGCGCGACCTTGCTGTGCTTGCGAGGAACTAAATAATCACACTGGTACTGTGTGGAGTAGACTCGTACTAGTCCTAAGTGTTGTGATGAAACAGACATTGGAATAAACAGACTTGACGCGTGGCTTGGAAAACTTGGACTCGGCATCGCAGTGAGGTGAAGGATCCAGGATGGTTGGCTTCGTGGCCAGCTGCAGACGGCTGCTTGTATTTTCTCCTTCAAGGTGCAGCAGATCATGTGGACTGCGCGGCAGAAGAGTCCCCTCTATGGATGCACGTTGACGTGCTTGAAATGTGATCACCAGCACCAGGCCAGTGACACTGAACTTCGATCACGAAGCTCGCGGACAGGACTGGAGGGAAATTGCCGCGTGGCATGAGGAAGGCGCCCCAACGGTCTGTGAGTTCGTTGGGGAATGACCTCATGTCCCAAAGCACAAAGGAACCCCAATGCGGCTTATGGTTTCAAGCGCGTAAAAAGGGCTAAAGGCAGAATGTTTAGTTTGGGGGGGCTTAATACGTAGAAATCGGCGATCTAGGTGCATGTTATGCTGCATCACTAGGGACATTCTCAACAACACAATATTATAGTATCACTGTAGATACTGGCCAGCTCGTTCTTCGGGCTGGGGCAGAAAATTCCTTCGCGGGTCAAACACATTGAAAGTGCAACAGGTCACATCGCACGGATGGCCATCCAATGAGACAGACACAGCAGCAGAACCAATACAAGCCCGAATACCACGCCAAACAACTAACTACAATAGCTATGGCTCAGAAAACCATGACTCACACCCTTATGGCAAAGGCTAGCCGATGGCATGCGAAGGGCCAACCGTTCTTTGCACCAACCTGCTCTCGGGAGAGCACTGCAAGCAGGGTTCGAAAAGTTGCTACGCCACTGTGGGGCGTTGGCAAACGGCCATGACGCTGGCACTTTCTTGGACAAAACTCATTCGACAGTCGCTGGATCATGAGACGTTGCTCTTCTTGGCTTTGACAGGGATCAAATCAGGATTCGATCAGTAATCTGAACAAACAGAGCTAGCAAGCTCACATCAGTGGTGTAGATGGAGATGCGTCCAGGAGTGCAACGAGCCGTTCCAAACGCATACCAGAGAATTTCATCTTGAGACATAGGTACAATCAAACCTCGGAGACGGCGGATTTCTCACCCGCAACAGGCACAGCATCAGAAAGCTATTCATCTACGGATGGAGCTTCCATTTGCATAGGATCGCTGGGGTGCCTGCATACTGAAGCTGGCCCGTTTCAGAACTCGATTTGGCTGGCTCCAACAATCCACTCGGATCTTAACCTTCGGTCGCTTAGGCCTTATAAAGCTCGAGGGCTCTAGGGTTTGGGGTTCTTGCGGCACCGGAGTCGAATCAGCAATGCCTGGGCACAGCAGCACGATTTGATCCCCACCGGTTGCTTCCAACACTCCTCACACATCTTTCAAACATCAGGAGCTGGCATGCTATGTGCATTCGAAGCTATATGGGAAGGGAAGAGGCCTGCGGCCTCCTGGCCATTTTGCCAGGCCAACGACTCGCCCATGCAATTGGCAGGTCAACTTGAGGGAGGACCTCGACCGGCGCAAAACTCAAGGCACGCGGCGGGTGCGTTTGGCGTTTCAGATAGACAACTGGGAATCCCAGCACTGTAAGACTGTATGCGAGCCAAGTACTGGGTACTGTGACTTTAGGTGCTGCTCAGAAAATCGGAGAAGCCACAGCCGCAGCTGAGGCTGATGGAAGTCGAGTCTCACAGCATGGGCACACCGTGTATCTTACCATCCCGCGCGAGCTTCTGGCAGGACCCCTGGGACCTACTTCAAGTGAGGGCTTAAACCATACACCCCAAAGCTTCGCAAATGGCAAGGATTCAAACGATGAGACGAAATAAAAACGCACGTGGCGGGTGCGTTTGGCGTTTCAAATAAACAATTGGGAATCCCAGCACTGTAAGACTGTATGCGAGCCAAGTACTGGGTATTGTGACTTTAGGCGCTGCTCAGAAAATCGGAGAATCCACAGCCGCAGCTGAGGCTGAGGACGGTGGAAGTCGAGTCTCACAGCATGGGCACACCGTGTATCTTACCATCCCGCGCGAGCTTCTGGCAGGACCCCACTTCAAGTTAGGGCTTAAACCATACACCCCAAAGCTTCGCAAATGGCAAGGATTCAAACGATGAGACGAAATAAAAACGCACGTGGCGGGTGCGTTTGGCGTTTCAGATAGACAATTGGGAATCCCAGCACTGTAAGACTGTATGCGAGCCAAGTACTGGGTATTGTGACTTGAGGCGCTGCTCAGAAAATCGGAGAATCCACAGCCGCAGCTGAGGCTGAGGACGGTGGAAGTCGAGTCTCACAGCATGGGCACACCGTGTATCTTACCATCTCGCGCGAGCTTCTGGCAGGACCCCTGGGACCTACTTCAAGTTAGGGCTTAAACCATACACCCCAAAGCTTCGCAAATGGCAAGGATTCAAACGATGAGACGAAATAAAAACTCTCAGCAGGCGTCTGCAAGCCTCTTGCTGCAACTTGCGTGTAGCGCTTGCAACTCTGCGCAATCCACTACACCGATAACCAAAAGCGGAGAAGCCATGCACACAACCATGGCATGACTTAAGCCCCTAAGCCCCAATTCGCATAAATCGCTTGTTGATTCCATCAAATCCCACACCCAAGCTACTGGCATGCTCAGGCTTCAAAGCGGAGGCGTCGGAGCTCTTCCTGTAGGCGACGCTGAATGTCCGGCTCAATGTTCCGGGTGAACATGTCACCTTGAGTTCGGAGTTTGCAGTTTCAGGGTTTATGGGCTCGGTGCCACAAAAGAGGAGGCTTTCAGCTTGAATCGAACGCATTATTACACAGAGAAAACATGCAATGCTTGCAAGCTCAACTATACCAAGTCACCCAGCATGGCTGCCACAGAAATGACAGCGACCTTCTCGTGAAGTCGCGAGCCTCCGGATTCTGACGACTTTGTGTCTTCATGGCGTAGCCCTTCCTCGATGATGTCGACGAGCCCTGTGAGTTGTGAAGCTAACTCTGGAACTTTCCGCATCTTTAGGAGCAAGCTATCACGAAGCAACCACAATTTCGCAGATCCCTTCATGCGGTTGATCTTATCACGAACGTGCTTCGTAAATGATTGCTGCTTCTTGTTGTCGTGGGCATGATGGCAGTACTTGCAAGCCATTCCCTTTCGGCAATGGCCCAAAGCCAGTAAGACACAAGGGCGGCGGCAGAAATAAGGATGCCCGAGGCTTCCGGCTGCATCTGCTTCGTCACAAGCCACCTCAAGGTCTTCCGGAGCCGGCATTGGGTCAGAGGCGATCTCAGCCTGCGGGATGGGGAGATTCCGGGCCTCCTGCAGGAGCCCTGCCAGGTAGTCGTTCTCGCATTCAGCCGTGCTCCGATGATACGTCGACGTTGCCGGCATGCTGGCGCAACGCCTGAGACTCGGCGACGGCTCCTCGACATCGATGAAAGTGAACTTGAACTTGAGCTTCATTCCCTCAAGCTGGGCTTGCGAGAGCATGGGTTCGCAAGCGGATCTGATACAGAGATGATTGAAACAAAGGGGAATTGAGCTCGAGCTGCAAGGCAGCGGCAACATTTACCAGCACTTGTTGCTGTCTGCTTGTCGTCGTTACGGATCCTACATGGCTCTCGAATACTTCGGCATCGTGGCAATGTCTCACGCATCGCAAGACCAGGACTGCCCTAAATATACACCCAAGCGAAGCTAGATTTGGGGAGGAGCTGCTCTCCAAAGATCCAAAACCTAGCGACTGAAGCCCAACTCGCCAAAAGAAGCAACGTGTCCAACTCCTCCCTTGCAGGATGCTGGGTTAAAACAACCCAATTCCTTTCTTCGTAGCTTCGCCTCGGCGACAGCCGTGGCCACCTTCTCTGGCGAGCTGTAGCGCTCTAACCTCGGGTTGAACTTCAGCTTGGCAGCAGACATGACAAGGTTTCACCGCGATAGGCGTGCTTACACTGGTGTTCATGATGTCCTCAATTGTCGCTGCGACAGAGTCGGGACAGAAAAGTTTGCGCTGCTGCTGATGCTGTTGTGTTCCATAAGCTTTAACCAAGACATCAGCGTGAGTGCGCCAACTGCGGACTGCGTGCGAGGGGCCGAAAGGCCCTTAGGCCCTAGCGGCACGACCCAAAACCTCCCTAATCCGCCGAGGCCACAGGCCCAGGCGTCTTGGGGGTTGCCTCAGGTACCCTCCACCTAATCCTCAAATGTTTGGAGACACCCTGTTTTTGCGTTCGTTTGTCGGCTTCCCTTCATTTTACCTGATTTGTCGGCCTCCCCCCCTTTCCAGGGGCCCCTCCCCCCCCCCCCTCCCCCGTTTCGAGGCACCCCTAGCATGTATACAACATCGACTGCCCCCTCGCCCTACCGCTCAAGAGCCGAGGCGGGCGGCGTAGCGTTAAAATTATGCCTACAGAATAAACACTTGTAGTAAGTCTTCTAGAACTATAGTAATGTTACACCTTGCTCGGCCCTACGACCCAAATCCCATCAAGAACTTAGCTCCCAAGGCGAAAAAACAACTTGCAGTGACCCAAATGCTACATTCAAACACTGGGGTCTATCTAAAGTTCGGGGTTTGTGCTCCAACTATCAACTGTAGTCGGTAATCCTGAATAACCGAATCGGTTCGTCAATCAGGGGCGAGTGTTTACGGCTTACCAGCATCTCCCATCAAGTCCATGGAGGCGGAAAAGCCGCAATTCTGCCAGCCTTTCAATCGCCAGTGCAGGTTCCGCAAGTTCCGAACCCCAGGACGGGTCAGGGCGCAGCAAAACGCAAGACAACTCAATCCGTAGACCAGGGTCCCTCCGCGGATCTTCTACCAGGGACCTTCGACAAAGGGGGTGACTCATCGTCCCGGAGTTGCTAAAGCCTCGACATCCAACACCACAACACCGCTAAGTAGTCTTGGGCCCCATGCAGGGCGCGCCGGCGGTCGTGGAGGTCTCGCTCAAAATCCATCTGATCGGTAAGAGCCTGGACCTTCTCGTCTTTTCGGGTTCGGTCTCAGGGTTTGCGGGATCAAGCTTGGGTTCCGCCTTCATGGATCGAGTGTTGGAGATAGTGCGTTGAAAGCTGCTGTATCTACAGCTTGGGGCACGCAGGGTTTAGGCACCGCTTTCGGGGTTGAGGGCGATATGTCGTCTTCGTTTGACGAGGTAGTTGGTGCATTCTGCCAGGATTCAGGTTAAGTTTGGCTTCAGTTTCAGGTTTATGACTTTACGATCCAGGGATGTGCGCTTCACGGCTGCGCCGTCCAAAACACTCCGAAATCCACAGCCTGCCTTTCTAATCCTTTTCTTTCCTGAGCTGACAAGTATGGAGCTAGCACTATACAAGCCCTAAATCCAAAATCCAGAACCGCAAACCCGCCTCTTCCCTCAACGGCGTGTGCCCGGCGGACTCCAAGCCATCGCGCAAGGAACCGCTTTCACTCTTGCGACCTGGTTCTGGAGTTTAAAGCTCCATAGCTCGTCACCATACGAAATGTTGATCGCTGTGTTTGTACCAAAACATATGTACATATCTGCAAACGAAAACACGCAACTATGTGCATACATAGATATCAAGACGGTGAACGCCACAATCACCGGCAGGTAAGGTTGTTCTGCCATTCATATAAGCATTGGATATGCATGCTCCTGGTTCTAGCAGGGCAATCCCGGCGACGATACAAATAGTGATGACGGTCTTGATAGGGAACTAACGATGTTGATAGATGCTGGTACAGAGTATGATGACGCCCTTGATGATGGGGAAGTAACGAGATTTCGAACGTAATTTAAGCTCTGATGTGGGTCTCGGGAGCGGGGGTTAGCCTGTAGATCTATATCTATATGTGTATCTATTACACAAACACACATGTATGTATGTATATATATATATATATCTACACACACATGCGAGTGTAAATGCATGTGTATAATATATATATATATATATATATATATATATATGCACATATATACATACGAAAACCATACATATTACCATATCCGGATGTAAAGGTATACAAAAATGTGTGTGTGTGTATATATGCCTGCGAAAACAAGACTTAAGAAACAAACAAGTGCATGCAGCCGAAAGACACAGCTTACGCTACTCCTTTTCTGTTACACTCCGAAGCTTCGAACCTGTGCCCTGAACCACTCCGAACCCGGAATCCTAGCCCAACCCCGCCGCCCCCCTAAACCTTCAACTTAAACCCTAAACCCTACTAGTTGCCAGGTGGCAAGGCGTACTCACCGACTGCGCGCGGACCTCACGGAGCTCCTGTGAGCGGGGATCTGCATTCAAGTTGCCAAGTTATTCTACCTGTAGAGCTCCGTTCGCTCATCTTACGAGGAGTCTAGGATTCACGTCTCCGGGGTTTGTAGGGTTCATAGTTTGAAGAGCATTTTTTGGGCTGACAAAAGCGCTGCTGACTCAAGAACGATGACGAACATGGATCGTAAATGAGTAGCAAAACTCACTACTGATGTCACTGCTACGCTACGCTTATCAGTAGTTGCTCCGACGACGTTTTCTCCGGACCACAGCAACTGGCTACTGCTGTCAAGAGTCCTGCAGAAGTGTCCGGTGCTGACAGACAGCTGCTTGCATAACGTTGCTCAGTGGTGGTCTTGCGTGATGCTGTCTGGCTTTGTCATTAGCTGTTGCACCCTGCAGCTTTGCCTGAATCCCCGCACCAGGGCTTGTTGTTAGGTTCAGGCTCGGAGCTGGGTGTTGGAGGTCGCAGCCTTTCAATAGCGGCTATCAGGCGATCCGTGACAAGCTGAAGCTCGCTTTAGGTCACAAGGTCTGGTTGCCTCCCTGCTGTTTCTCTGCGCAAACATTAGAGGTTAAGCGGGTAAAGGATTGAGGGGTGTGTATAGGGAAGGCGGACTAAGAGGGCTTAGGGATTTGGGGCAGGTTTTCGGGTTGTGTGTTTGTGTGTGTGTGTGTGGATGGGGTGTATAGGGGTGTATCGGATGGGATAGCACTGTTAGGGGTGATGGCATGGGTGTAGAGGCGTAGACGGTATGAGGCCGGGGCTGTTGGTGTTGCGGTCGCTATCCTTACACTGGGGTGGCTGTTGCTGTTGTTGTTGTTGTTGTTGTTGTTGTTGTTGCTGCCGTTGTTGGGTTAGGAAGGCGGCAGAGGTGGGGGGGAGGTGGCGCGGGCAAAGGGTGTCTTATATGTCGGGGGTCGCCGGCCATTGTGCGTTAAATTAACCGCTGCGCGAACGCACCTTGTGTAGCTCCCTTTTCCCCTATACCATCTAAACCCTCGGACTGTTTTTAAGCTAGCTCCGGGGTCTACCGAATATTCAGGGCTTGAGGGCTGTAAGTTGTGTGGAAAATGGTAGCTATTACGAGAACCTATGACTCCATCACCCGAGAGCAAAAATCTTATTCCCGGCTCCTGTCCCCCAACTAACCCCTGATAGACCCCAAATACCCTCTTTTTAGTACCATAAGGGCTCTACTATAGGGGTCTTAAGAATTAGACTAGGGTTTTGGAGCCCATTATACCATAACTATACTGAGGAAGCCCCGAAATAGTATTGCTCATAAATAAGGCCCCTATATTCTTGAAGGGCCCTTGAAGGGCCCGGCAAGCCCCGAACCTCAGCTAAAGTCCGGGCCGAGAGACAGCTTCCAACCGTGCAACGGTGCTGCAGCAGCGGCGCTGGACGAGCGCACAGCGCACCTGACATCATTTTGACAGTTTGGGAATGGGGTATGCATATATACATATACTATGCAAGTCCAACCCACCGGTTAAACGGGTGCGTTCAAGTAAACCACGCAAAACACTGAACACACCTCAAACACTGAATTTAACATTGTTTCAGTGGATGATAACACTGCTTTCTTATGCACAAAGTTTCACAGTCATTGGTGGTGGTTTCACAGTTATTTGGGTGTGTTTCACGGTTTTCTGGTGTTGTTTCACGCTTTTTTCACGCTAGTTTCACGGTCAGCTGTTTGGTGTCTTGAGCCTCTGCATCGATGACGCCTGGTGTGGCGCCGTCCAACCCACCAGTTAAACGGGTGCGTTCACAACCCACCAGTTTCACGGGGTGGCGGACGCCCAGGGTATATATATATATATATATATATATATATATATATATATATATATGGCCATAATATGTTAATATATATATATATACACACTATGTATAAATGTATAAATGTATGTATGTATATATATACACATAGAGAGAGAGTAAAATAATATGTATATATATAATATATACATATATATATACACATACATACACAGTTTACATTATATGTTATATGGTATATGTTATATATATATATATATATATACATTTATACATAGATCAAAGTATATACTGCAATACATTTACATGTATATACAAATAGCGACAGATAGATACCTGCTACTATTGTTTCAGACTCCATACCGAAATCCTCTGTAGTCTGAAACTTGATCCCCCTTTTTGGTGTTTGGAGATTAGTTTCACATTTGCGGTTGAGGATGTGGGAGCTGAGTTTTGGGTCAAACCATCCAACCCTAGACCCTAAACCCGAAGCCCCAAGCCGCTTGACCCCGAAGCCCCTCTCAGTCGTGTCAAAGTCCTTGCCTCGGTCAACTCGCGATTGCGGGCCTCCTGGCAAAGAACTTCAGTGCTCGGGAAGCAAGGCTCAGGAGTTTAGGACCTTCAGGCTTTATGCTTTCGGTTTGGCCCCGCCTGGGCGCGGGAGGCCTCCGCTGTGCGGAGGCGATCGTGTAGGGACGTCTCGTCTCCGTTCTCGGACCTTGCATCAGGGTTGGCAGGGCTTGGGGTTGATGGGGGATGTTTTGGGTTTTAGAATGAACCAGGCTTCCATGAGGACTGAAGGGTTCAGGACGGCAGAGGGGTTTCTAGGACTTGGGGTCCAGGAATAGCATGCTGGAAGTTTCGGCTACAAGCATTCACGATCTGGGATCAGGATCACAAATCAACGTACGGATGATGAGCAGTGCTGCGGTGCTATTTGCGGACGCCGCGGGAAGTGCCTCCTTTTCATGTGAGTATAGACAAGTTGACATCAACCAGGCCATGAGGTCCAGCGATCATTAACGGCCACTCTGCGCGTCTTCTGCACGTAGGTTGTCGGTCGCTTTCGGGTTCACTCACTTAACGTTCTACGGTTTCGAGACCTTGTCTTCCGTCGACCTGCAGAAGTGCATTAGTGCAAACGTCCTGGGAGGCTCTTTTGACATGGCTTGTGGGATTTCGGCACGGTTTTGGGACCTCCCCAGTCCGCAAACTCAAAGCCACGCAGGGGAAGCCTAGCTTCACACCCTTTTTTTTTAACCTTACAATAAGTCCGAAACCTCAAGTCGAACACAGCTCTCTGGGCCAGCAGCCTCAGATCCGAAATCACGGATGCAGAAGCTTCCTCCAGAGCCAACTCCTTGCAAGAAGTGCCGGTGTACTACCGTCTGTTTTCCACCAGATGTATATAGAGTCTTGAGGTTTCAGATGGCTCGGCCGAATTAGGAGCTCGAGTTTTTGTTGGCCACGCGGCTTTTTAATATCGGCGTTGAGGCTCAGGAGTAAGCCACTTGCAGTGTATATGGTGCAGCTACATTCGGGTCTATACAGTACAGTTAGCTAATACGTGCTTACGCACACGGTTGCAACCCATTCTGCACTCTTCGACCCAAAATCCTAAGTTCTGATGGTCTCTCAGATTCCGATCCGCACCAAACGGCCCTGCCGGCTCTGATTCTCGAAGGCTTTCACTGGGGGGGAAAATCTACTACGACACCGCTAAGGAGTCTCAAGCAGCAGGGATGCAGGTGTTTTGTGGGAAGGACGCGGAAACAACAACCCTAAATCCCAAAGCCTTGAACATCTCGACGTTGGTTCAGGGTTTGAGGCACAGAGGTGCCTTTCGGAGTTCGAGTTCTGGGCTGCTTTACCAAGCACATTTGCGCACACTGTCAGCTTTGCATGTCTGGGTGCTCCCCGTGGTCATTCCCAGTCCCGAAATTCGTTCGAAACTTCCTACATCTGCGGAAATCATAAGCCTGGCTTCTTGCTGGATGAGTCGCCAGCTTTCTTTGAAGCTCCTCGGACTCCATCTTCTCCTCAACCATGCATCCAGTGCTAAGCCCCTACACATACCTCGGGGACCGATGCCTAACGTCCTCCGACCGGAAAAACGCGGTCTTAGAGGTCCCAGACAGGAAGACCCCAACAAGCGACGTCGAGGCCTCTGCTCCCAGGCATGAGCATCCCTTGCGCCCCTAGCGGCCTCGCAGACTTGCTTCTGCAGCATCGCCTGGCGTCTTCGCTGTGGATTCAGAAAGGGGTTACCACTCTTCGCGGAGGCTGTTTCTGTCAAGTTCTCAATCATACCAGTTCCTGAAGGTGCAGCAGTCAACACCCTTTTGCCGAATGCTGCATCCACAAGCCCGAGCAAGCACGACTGTCGTTAAACATGTTTCACAGCCGCAATGTGATGTAGGTGACACAAAAGCGAAAAAGCCTCCTGCTTCTACTTCTGCCTTCTGCAAGCTTCCTTCTATTGACTGCCAGCAGAGGCTGTCGCAAATAACCAACAAACAATCGACGACCCCAAAAACACCTGTTGTGGCTAGCATCCTGGATGCTAAATGCCGGACTCCACGCTTTGAAAGGTTCACTCAAACCTTCATATTCTTGAATGTATATGGCTTACTCAGGTATGTAGGCGCTTCAACATCCAAACAGGGTTTGGAGTTTGCGGGTGCCTGCATGGCATAATCGGCATAATCGCTATGTATGGCTAGGAGTAACATCATAATGGAAGACTACCATATTCATGCAAGAAAGGCACTGGTCAAATTCAGCATAAAGGTCCTTGCCGCATAGCATGATAGCCCAAATCCGGGAAATGGCAACCCGGGCTTCAATAAACACCCTGAGCCCCAAGCCCAAAATCCACTTAACCCCAAACCTTAAATCCTATTCCTCCAGGTACACATGCGAAGACACCCGCTCTTGCCGCAGCGTCTGCAGCTCGCGCCGTTCGTCGAAGAGCTCCTCGTGATGACGACCGCTTTGTTTGGGCTTGAAGCTTTTGGGAATCGAACTTCAGGCTCTTGGCTCTCCCGTTTTGAACTGTTTAGACCCCTTCCAGCAACCTTAGAGAACCCTTACAGAAGCATTGTAGAACATCGGACCCTGACCGGGCTCAAAGCGGAGCTTGGATCTGAGGGTCGAAAGGGAAGCTGTATTTAGAGTTTGTGCGTACAGGTTTGAGTCTTCAGCTTCTTGTCCTACAAGTTGGGAGGACTGCCTCATGGCACCACCAGTAGTCACGGCACCGAAGCACCGTCGAATGCAGGAGCTTTTCAAGACTCTTCCCTTCATCTCACCGCAAACACGATACCCAAACACTTAGCACCCCAAACCGCATAGAGGACCGCTCAACCCCCGATTCTGACAGACGGGTGGCCTCCAGGTCTCTGCACAACCAGGATCAGTTTCAGGGTTTAAGGAGTTTCGGTGGTAGTTTGCGCCGTTTTGGGGGTCCCTTGTCTCTGGGACTCCCCATGGCGGTCTTAGGCACTGGAGATCAACACGCGGATTCTTGACGGCCCAGACTCCTACAACCTGAAGAAAACATGTGGCAAGACATTGCAGCGGGGCCGGCTACCTGGTACCAAGTTTATTTCAGCTGCTAGTTCCACCTGGATACATGACTATGAATGCCTGGCAAACAACCTTTCCCTTGTCTAACCATGAGACAGCAATCGTCTTTCTCATGGCTGAGGATTCTGAACCTTGAGCGGCAAATTGAAGGAAAGGCCCCAAGTAGATGTCTGTCAGCAGGTCCATTGTAGTCACATCAGTCTCATAAGCCATGCGATGCTGAGTATGAAAGAATGACTTTACCAACGTACTGGCCCAGCTTTCCAGAAGAATACTTGTACGTATCGCTGTGCTGCGATCTCCAACGGTGCACTGCGCTCCAAAACAACAAAAGTCGGCACCATGCATACGCCATGCAAGCAACGTTGTTACAACCCCAAATGAAAAGCGCAAGAAGCGCGTCGACACCCTCGCTTTGTTCAAACTGCACATCCATCAACCCTCAAGACCAGCCTATCTCAATGCCAAGGCAGCTTGTTCCCTGAAACAAGCTGGTACCACAAGCCACATACCCGGTAGACAAACTGTAGAGGTCTGTAGATGGTTCTCATTTGCCGATGTAAGCTCTATACCATTCCATATACCAATATACCTTTCAAGAATGTACTTCTGAGTCACTGAAGACCTAACAAAAACCAAAAACCTAAACACCAAAGCCCTAAACTTTCCCACCGGCCCTGCCACCTTCAAAGCCACCTGAAAGGCTTATTGCTTTTTGAACCCCGACGGGTTTTGGGGTATGTTATACCATAACCATAACGGTACAAGGAACCCAACAATAGCATCGGTAATTATTTAGGCCCTTTAGTATACTTTACGAACCCAGACGAGGCTTCGAAGCTCTGAGGCCTCGAGGCGGGGGCTCAGCTGCACCATGGCCTCGCGCGCGGCTGCCGCGGCCTCTGGGCCTTCCTTGGGCTGAGGCTTTTCCCTATAGCTCTAACCATCGGGTTTACTGAGCAGGTTGCTAACCTGCATGATTAACCGGGCGGTTGCGTCATAGCTCATCTCTGAAGACTTGTCTTATGGTAGTCTATTAGGTGTATAGAAATGGCTATCTTTCATGCCCTTTTAGACATGAATTCGTCAAGTGATTTGACTTGTCCGTCGGTATAAGTTCACTAGTATTTGAGGCACGTCAGGCCTGCAATTTCGACCACTAGTTTAGGGATTTGGGGGAGTTTATAGTTTAGTGGTTTAGGGGTTTGGGGGTTTAGGGGAGTTTATAGAGTTTAGGGGTCTAGACATTTAGGGATTTAGAGCAGTTTAGGGCTTAGGGATTTAGGGGAGTTTTAGGGATGAGGGCTCTGGGGCTTCCGGCGTTTGCGAA